AATGAAATAACCTTTACATAAACCATTTCCCACACCATATGTATGCAAACCGAAATGACTTACATTTATTCTATCATCCAGGGATAGCCAACATGAGACTGTCCAGAAGTTGTTGGACTCAAACTCTCATCCGCCTTGGCCAGGATGGCCAATGATCAGGAATCACGGGAGTTTTAGTCCACCCTGTTGACTATCCCTGCAGTTAGACACCTGTAGGACCTGTCCAAGCCATCATTCTGAAGCCTCAGGCAGAGCAGGATCTGCTACCACTACCTGCATTCTGCTGGTGCCGGCTACTTTCTTTCCAGCACTACAGAGACGTCGCCTCAAGTCTCATGGTAAAAAGGGTGATCTCGTTCTACTTTCCCTCCCAATCTGCCTCAGTGTGGCTCATGGTATTCTGACTCACAGATCTGCATTCAAATTAAAGCCACAGATGACTCTCAGTAGTGGGTTGTGGTGCAGGACAGTGCTGCTTTCTTGACCTTCAGTCACCACCATCACTGTGGTGCACCAGGAGGATAAGGAGCAAGGCAGCAGCGAGGCTGACATGGTGCAAACACACCAAGGGGGGGCAGATTGGCTCCATTGGCATGTTTGCTCTGCACCAACCTCACTGCCACCTCACCCCACCTAGTACACCACTGTGATGGCAGTGATGGGAAGTCAGGTAAGCAGCACTGCCCTCACCAACCACTACTACCACTACTACTACTGTTGTTGTTGCCATCTCTGTGCCTCGAGAGACAATGGAGTGAGACAAGGGAGTGCTCCTCCGGGGGTGGTCAAACCATTGCATTAGCAGCACCAAAGTGACCTTTCCAGGGTCCAAGCCTGGGCCTGTGTATGGAAGTCCTTGGCTGCCCATTTGACAAGACCCCTCCCTTGACCTTGCTGATATGGTTCAAAGGGAAGCAGAGCAATATTACTGATGACTGTGATTATAGCAATGGATAGAGGAAGGACTGGCGTTTATCTTCCTGTCTATCAGATTGAATCATAAACTGAAATGCCTGTAATGAGCAGTTATTTGGAACTGACCGTGGTGCTAAATGAATGCAGCTCTTAAGGTTCTGGTTATTGACCACCAAGTTCAAAGCCAGATGGCCATACAGTGCTTAATCCAGTGAATGTTGGCAGGGAAGGGCCAGCTTGCCCAACTTACTGTTGTTGGTTTTTTTAAAAAAATACAACGATATAGCGAGTTTATACAATTTTGCTGAGCATTAGGTAAAAATAGGAATTCCTCTATTATCTGCTTTCCACTAAGGGCTTCCATTGTCAAATGTTCAGTCTCTTGACCAGCACCTCCTCTCTTGTAAGAGAGGCTGAACACAAATTGTCAGAGTAATTGAGAGAAATAATGAACAGTATTGTTTTCACAAGAAACAGCCCATAGAATATTCTATGTAATTTGCAGTTCAAGTTTCATAACCAGGTTTATGTAGTTATGTAACTTTGCTGCATTCCGCTTCCTTTGTAATTTGCAGAGCATTTCCCAGCACTCGTGACCCCTCCAGTTTCTCTACTGAAACCTCGAGCCAAAAGCTTTGTGGTATATAATGGATTGCCGATGTCAAAACTGTGTCACCCTGAAGACACGTTAGTGGGTGAGAATGGTCCTCTCTGAATAGGCAACAGCTGTCATCTCTTTATTTGTGACGGCTGCATGTCATGAAACTCTCCGCTACCCATTTATATTGGTGATTACAAATCGTTCCCAATGATAAGCTATTTGAGTCATTAGTGAAAGGCAGTTTTCTCTCTAAAAAAGAAAGTAAAACTATGTATTGTTCCCAGCAACTTTAGAATCTTCTATTTTTAGAATAATCACATCTTTTGTGGAGACGTGTTGTCATTTTTAGAAACGCTGCGCATCCAGCATGAAAAAGGCACAGTGAACCATGGTGAATATAAAGAGATGCAGGGGGTGGCAGGGGTGGCAGAGAGAGGGGCTTCAGGTTGTTGGTTTCCTGTAATCTTGGTTCTCCAACTCCATTAAGGAGAAGCCTGCAATCAATAGTTTGGCAAGTTATTTTGAATTCAAATATGGAATTAAGTGTACCCCATCTCTCCATCTTGCCTATTCTCCTTTGTTAGCCTTTCGTCAGAACAGCTCAGTCAGTCTGAGCCAGGATTCACCTAACCACGTAAAAACTCACAAGACATTATCTAAGTAGGTTGAGCATTTGATGGTATGAAACTCTGGCCTGCTGCTAAATTTGATCAAATCAGTGGGAACTAGGAATAGGATTTTTTAAATAGCACGGTTTTGCTTTCAATCCTGTGTGGAACAACATTTCGCCCACAACAGATCATCCTTTCCACCACAGCTCCTCTTAAAAACGCTAAGACCCCATGAGCAATCTCCAAATGCTGATTTTCATGTTAGCTGGCCATTTGCATTAGTACTATTGTCCTCAACCCCAAATCCCTCTTCTTCCTTGATGCACACACAAGCCTTGATGTACATAGCTTTCCTTATATACTTCAAGCGAATGAATAGTTCTGTGTATATGTCCTTTTGCACTCCCATCTTGTGCTTTCCATTCAAGTGAGCAGAAGAGAAGGGCATGTCGTATATACCTCATCACAGAGTCTGGCCCACAATAATGGATTCATATTCTATTTACTAATAACCAAAACAGCAACATTCGCTCATTACATATTTTAGTTTTTACGTCTTTTGCCCCCATACGCTGAGCTCTTCGTGAAGAAGGACAGGCTAAAAATGCTTTAACACAATGTTGTTGTTGTTGTTGTTGTTGTTGTTGTTGTTGTTGTTGTTGTTACACCCCTGTATAAATAAATGAATAATCCTAGAAGAGGTTTGACTGGCTGGCTGATATCTTGAACAGGAGGACTACACATTGCCACATTTTGCTATAGCTCCTACTTCCGGATTGTGTTGTGTGAAGAACCTCCTAGAAATTGCCAGAGATCTTATAAAACATGTGCAGGAAAGCACAACCAAATTAAGCCAATCAAGGCATAACTGAAGTGGGATTCTGTTTTTGACTTCACATGAGACTTAAATCAGGATTCGGAAAAGCAAAAATGTTTATATTTAGGAGCCATAGATTTTTATTTTGCTAGGTAAACGTAACATAGCATCTTACACTATGAGTACTTTTTAAAGATCATGGTCATTATGCTTGTAGTAATAATTTTCTAGCTGCTTTGTCTGCAGATCCAGGCAACATTAAACATAATTAAAGTGATGTATAAACACACTTCCTAGCTGCCATTATTTCCCATTATGGTTCTGGAATTAGCTAGAAGCTAAAACTCAAATGGAGCCATAAATCAACTAAGCAGATGCCAGCAGCCTCTTCTTTAAATGTTAGTTTCCTCCTAACAGAAGTGACAAGTATGTGGGCTGCTGCATATTCCCCATGACTCTGTTGCATCACTCACAAACAAAAGCCAAAGCCTTTTAAAGACTGAATAGTATTGCAATTATTTATTATATTATTTTTATTCCACCTTTCCTCCAAGAAGCTTAGAGTGCTGTGTATTCTAGATTACTGTATTTTTTGCTCTATAAGACTCACTTTTTCCTTTCTAAAAAGTATGGGGAAATGTGTGTGCGTCTTATGGAGTGAATGCAGGCTGCACAGCTATCACAGAAGCCAGAACAGCAAGAGGGATTGCTGCTTTCACTGCGCAGCGATCCCTCTTGTTGTTCTGGCTTCTGAGATTCAGAATATATATATTTTTTATTTCCTCCTCCAAAAACTAGGTGCGTCTTGTGGTCTGGTGTGTCTTATAGAGCGAAAAATACAGTATACACATTTAAGATTTTTTGGAAACTGGGTTGGCGGTAGTGGAATCACTTGTTTCCTCTTCAGTTATTTTGAGCACCTGACCCAAACTTTTTATTTGGGGTGGGGGCACATTATTTTTCTTTAAGGGTGATTACTTTTATTTATTTTTGTCTGATTGACTGCGATGCTACATGTGTGCTATTGGCTATGCCTGAATCCCCACAGGGTGAAAACCCATTGGTGGAGAAGGGCTTAATGTCCCTAGGTGAGAGAATGGGAGAGGTTGCATGTATCACCTCAGAGGAGAAAATTGGAGCAAATGAGTGTGTTTCTTTATGTGGTCTAAACCACTGAGCCTCTTGGGCTTGCCGATCAGAAGGCTGGCAGTTCGAATCCCCACGACGGGGTGAGCTACCGTTGCTCGGTCCCAGCTCCTGCCCACCTAGCAGTTCAAAACCATGTCAAAGTACAAGTAGATAAATAGGTACCGCTCTGGCGGGAAGGCAAACGGCATTTCCATGTGCTGCTCTGGTTCGCTAGAAGCGGTTTGGTCATGCTGGCCACATGACCTGGAAAAACTGTCTGCAGACAAATCGCCTGCTCCCTCAGCCTATAGAGCAAGATGAGTGCATAACCCCAGAGTCGTCCGTGACTGGACCTAATCATCAGGGGTACCTTTACCTTTACCTTTAGATGATTATTGGTTGATTATTGATAAAATATTCCGCTTTTTAATTGAAGTAAGAATTGCATAGATCAAATGTTGTGGTGGGTATAAGGAGAGTGTGGTAGTTGAGAGTGACTGTGTATGTCTAAGACTGTCTAGTATGCTGCCAGTGGAGTTCTGAAAAGGTCTGGGTTTCTTGTTGGTAAAGGAGACCAGTGTATGAATGTTTTAAATGAATATTTTAACCTTAAAAAGTTTAGAAAATTCTCCACTACTGTGCTTTAGCAAAAAGCAACTCACAACTCCTTGGTGTTTATCAGGCAACATTTTGAGCACTACAGCTTATGGCTGCATATGTGGATCCTTGGTGTTCATATATTTTGTTTTTCACATTTATATCTCACTCTAGGAAAGTGAGGGTTGAATTGGAGATTTGAACCCAGGTCTCCACTATCCAAGCCCAACACTCTTACACCTCATTTATGATTATAAATGGCATGCCTCTATGAAATACGTTGGTGGGAAACTAATGAAAAATGACAGAACTTCTTTGTCTTTTTTTGCAGTGAATTTTGATCACTTCCAGATACTTCGAGCAATTGGGAAAGGAAGCTTTGGCAAGGTAAGAGAATAGTTTGTAATTTGAGTTGGGGCGGGGAGCAATTAAGTGCATTGTAGTAAAGATAAAAGGAGGTGTTCAATTAACTGTTTGCACTAGCCAAGGATTACCCCTAGAGCAAGGAGATATTCCTTCCCCTTCCTCTCCCGTCCATGCCCCTCACTGTCTGCAAATCTGTTCTGGAGGATGGGAGGAACCTCCAGAAAAGATTGGGGGGCATGGAGGAGGGGGGGGGCATGATCTATCCCCATGGTTTGGTTTGCCCATCATAGCATGCCAAGTCTTGGCTTCACTGCCCAACTGAACTGAAAGGTCCAGGAAGGATCAAAGTGTCTGTGATTTCCACCCCAGGAGCAAACATATTTGCACACTCATGCTAAGTCATGGGTTGGCTTAGTGTTGTGTGTAAACACAGCTGATGTGGCTTATATAGAAACCACAATACATATTGCACCATATAGCAATAAAATCACAAGGTAAAACGTCACAACACACACAGTGCAATCTGGTACATGTCCATTCCAAAGTCCCATTGAGTTATAGAAGTGCATATAGCAGCTGAAAAGAGTAACTTAAGGGCTGATTTCACGGGCTTGGCTGTATTATCAACTACCTGCTACTTCCGAACCTTTGAATCAAGATTTGGGTCATATTTCAAATCTCTTTTTAAAAGGCTTTATTTAGAAGAGCGACTTGGCCCACATCTGATTGTTTTAATTTTAATTTTGACAAGCTCATCGCTCTTCTCAGGCCCTGATGAATGCCTTTGAAACCAAAAGACATTATTCCTCTACTAATCAAAAAATAATCAGGGAGCTTAAGGTAAAAGTGCTAAGTGTCTTGGAATCAGCTGACTTGCAATGTGCAATTTATTCAGTGACTCATGGAATGGGTTATGGCTCATGTGTATGAGTTGTTATTTCCATTACGATCTGTGTAACCTTTTAATTCATTGCCCAATAAAAGGAGCTAATGAAATGCAGTCTGTGGGTTCAGGCAGGTGTCAGAATGTGCAAAACTCTTACTTTTACTGAAGATTCCTGTAATAGTATGCTACTGAAATAAAAAGCCGTGCCTTATCCGTTGAGCAGGCATATAAAAAGGCACACATTGAAGGCGCGCATTAATTTAACAGGAATACACAGAGAGAGAAATAACGACCCGACAGAGGTTGAACATACATGTCCTTTTCAAAATCTAGAAAGAAAATCCATCTGGGCATTAATGTTTTAACAGCTAGACTTTCCACTTTAAGCAGAGTTGTTCAAACCCAGAAAATGCAATGTAACAGATTCTTACCTGTGACTGGAGGTGTGAAATATTCTGGACTGAAGTGTGTGCTTTGAAGGTATCTTTCAGGTTTTTAAAGCAGTCATCTACTTAAACCCTGTGCATCATTCTGCTTTGCGTATGTATATCACTACCCTAAACAATCCTGGAGGATATCTGTTTAGTACGACAAAGTCAGATAAGAGCCATCATTTGGAGACTCACTTTTTTAAAAAAACACACCACAGGATACATCTGTGCTGGAAATAAATTACTAAGTGGCAAATATTCTGGAAATCTTAATATCAAGTTTATCCACACAGATTGCCCCCCCCCCCGCACATTCTTGTCTTGTTCCTTTGATAAGATGGCTCAGTCCTACCCTCAAAGTGCCCTGTTTAAGAGCCTTCTGTTAGACCGTTCTGGCAATGAAACCATCATGTTCGGTGGGTGGGAGAGGGAGGTCTGGGCCAACAGAATGGAAGGCTGGTTGGGTTGAGTCGGCAGAATGGAGTAGAGGGATGCTGTCACTCAATGCAACTTTCTCTCCCAGCCTGGCATTGGGGTTTTGGTGATTGCAGCCTTACCTGGGAGTAAGCCTCATAGAATTCGCTTGGACTTACTTCTGAGTGCACATTACTGTTAATCTGAATCTTATACCTCGTGGACACAGTTTACTGCTATAGGGACAATGCTTTCTCAAACTGTCTTCATTATGTGTAGTTCAGTTCAAATGTACTAATTCACCACAATATAAACATGGCTGGCACATGCCATCCTGGGCCCAGAGAAATTCAGAAGGAGTACTTAGTGTGGTGGGTTTGAACTGAGAAAGGGAAGGAATACTCAACTCTGCTTTCCACTCTACTGAAGTGGCACATGTCACTTAGCACAGGGGCATGTTTTGCCCACCTTCTTTCAGAATTGTCATTGTCAAAGTGTTGCCGATTGAGAGGTCGCCAACATGGTTCCTTCCAGATATTGTTGGACCAAAACCCCCATCACTCCCAGCCCTCATAGTCAATGATAGGATATGGTCAGTTGTAATGCAAAGCCATGTTGGCTAACCCTGTAATAAATGTGCACACACCAGTTTGTGAAACCCCCTTTCATACATAGATGCAGAGGAAGGGGAAATTCTTCCCTACAGTAAAAAACAAAAAAACAAAACTAAGCTGTTGTGGTTTGGAAGTGGGGAGCTTGGAGAGGAGACTATATTGGAAATACAGTGGTACCTCGGGTTACAGATGCTTCAGGTTACAGATTCCACTAACCCAGAAATAGTACATCGGGTTAAGAACTTTGCTGAGAGCCAGTGTGGTGTAGTGGTTAAGAGCGGTAGTCTCATAATCTGGGGAACCAGGTTCGTGCCTCCGCTCCTCCACATGCAGCTGCTGGGTGACCTTGGGCTAGTCACACTTCTTTGAAGTCTCTCAGCCCCACTCACCTCACAGAGTGTTTGTTGTGGGGGAGGAAGGGAAAGGAGAATGTTAGCCTCTTTGAGACTCCTGAAGGGGAGTGAAAGGCGGGATATCAAATCCAAACTCTTCTTCTTCTTCTGCTTTGGGATGAGAACAGAAACTGCACCGCAGTGGCAGCAGGAGGCCCCAGTGGCGTAGCGTGGGGGGTGCAGGGGGGGCCGGCCGCACCGGGCGCAACATCTGGGGTTAGGGCAAATCCACAGGTTAGGGGGTGCAAATCCACGGGTTAGGGGGCGCAAATTACTTGCCTTGCCCCGGGTGCTGACAACCCACGCTACGCCACTGGGAGGCCCCATTAGCTAAAGTGGTACCTCAGGTTAAGAACAGTTTCAGGTTAAGAACAGACTTCCAGAACAAATTAAGTTCTTAACCCGAGGTACCACTGTACATTGCTGGCCTGGTTATGGTAGGGTATAAATGCCTGCTTATGGGCCCTGCTGATGTAGTCTTGGTATCAGAGATGTACCTAGGGTCCCTTGGGCCCCTGCAAGGAGCAGTATCAGCAACCCCCCCAAAAAAGCCACCACCCCATAACTTTACCATAATAACCACATTAGAAATTAGTACATTTTATGTGACCCAAGTATTTGAAGCGTCCTGAGTGAGGGCAAAGTGAGGAGGAAGGGTGAGACTACTTGCATTCCTTTGTGCCACAGTGCAAGACAGACAAGAAGCTACTTCCATGCTTGATCTCCCCGCAACAGCAGTGGCATGTCACTACACACATATGCCATACACTCCATCGTCTGATAGGTGACTTTTGCACTCCCAGTGGGGGTCAGTATTGCCAACAACCAGGTGTGCCTCTTCCTGGTATTCATATACATGGAAGGGAGAAGTGGTTGCCACATTGCCTATGCTAGGTCTTGCGTCTGTAACCTAATTATGTTTTAGCTGAATGGGCTTTTTCCAAATAGTTTTAGAACTGCAAGATACAGGATTTTTTCCCTCCTTTTACAAATTTACTAACCCAGTTAGAGTGAACACATGTCTCTTCCCACCCAATATATTTATCTCCTCTCTGAGAAGGAGAAATAAAAATTTGTTGTTCTAATTCTGGACTTTCTACTAAAGAATATATAAATTCTGAACAATGATAAAAAAAGATTAATTGACCAGTTCACATGGGATTCAGCATCTTCTCAACTGCTCCGCTCTTGTCCCACAAGATCACTCCTTGCATGCCCCAGTTTGCAAACAGGCGTTTGGGGTTCAGTACATGGCTATGCTCAGCAAGGGTTTCCTGTAATTCTGGGGACCCCAAGCAATGCTGCCACTATCGTGGAAACTGCCTGCTGAGTGCAGTGCATGTTTGTGTGCTTTTGTTTGTTTGTTCAGGTGGTGGTATGTTTGGGGACTTCATGGAGAGTGATTGCATGGAAAAAAGGGACCGGGAATACATATGTGTGGGTGTGTAAAAAGTTTGTAGCTATGGTTTTGTGAGCACTATCTTAAAATGAAAATGGTATCTGAAGAAGTGTGCATGCACATGAAAGCTCATACCAATAACTAACTTAGTTGGTCTCTAAGGTGGTACTGAAAGGAATTTTATTTATTTATTTCTTTAATTTTGTTTTGTTAAAATGGAAATATAATAGAGTATATTTCCATCAAATTAAAATTTCTATTTACCTAAGAGATCTATACATCTTTTAGTAAGAAACCAGTGAATGAAACAGTATAACCCACTCCAAGTGCACCTAAATGGTACATTAATACTTAGTGACAGCACGACCTTTCTCTCTACCATCTAGAGCAGCGGTTCTCAACCTGTGGGTCCCCAGATGTTGTTAACTACAACTCCCATCATCCCTGAGCTCTGGCCTTGCTAGCTAGGGGTGATGGGAGTTGTAGTTCAACAACATCTGGGGACCCACAGGTTGAGAAAGGCTGATCTGGAGAGTCACAGGTTCCCCATGCCTACTATAAGGCATGGCTGTATAGAAAAGCAGAGTAATGACAGGAGAAATCAGTAGTCCCCTGCCATTGAGATTTCATTGAGATGCGCTTCCATATCTGCTATCCTTGGCCAGCTGTTGGGGCACCAGTGCTGAGGTGGGGCACAACTGCTGACACCTGCCCTGGGACATGAGGTAGATGGGTATAGCCACCATTTACATTTTCAGCAATTCCTCCTAGGTACTGTTACTCTGGGACATTGTAGACAATGTAAATGACAGCTAGACCCAGCTATCCAGTGCTTCTTGGAGCATTGGTGCTGCCACAGTGGTTGACTACCACTCTCAGGTAAGCCCACCAGGACATATCAGTAGAGGAGAAGATCCAACAGAGTGAACCCAGTTCTCTTTAACTTGGAGCTGGCCCTGGATTTAGTGCGTAAATAATTGGAGCATTTTGTTCATTTATAAAACTACTATTGCTGAGGGAAGCCAGTGCAATTCAGTAGGTAGAATTATAAATTTGCAGCTGCTGGATTTGAACATGGAACAGCTAAATTAAATTAAATATAGACATAGTTGTTGATAAAATAATATGCGTTAAACAGAAGCCAATTGTAAGATTTAGTTTTGCTTGCGCTTCATTATTAATCTCTCTAATCCACGCTCCTCAAAACAATATGTGAACCAAAATGCAGCTGTCCTCCAAAAATCACACTTTTCTGAATTATGAGATGCAGTGTCCCAACCCAAACTTTGTGCAGAAATATGTATGTTAGGCAGAAGTGTGCATAAAGAGCATATATTAGTGAAAATACAAACGTACAATATATTAGACAACAATGCTTCAGAAAGATGTTTATTAGACAAAATTGCAAAAAATATGTATATTAGGAGAAATGTGTACAAACAAAAATGATAAGGTGTGTGTGTGTGTATGTGTGTGTGTGTGTGTGTGTGTGTGTGAGAGAGAGAGAGAGAGAGAGAGAGAGAGAGAGAGAGAGAGAGAGTGTCTCGGTATATGTATATCACTACCTGATATGGAAACATTGTGATCTACACACAAGATAGGAAAAAGTGAGAAACTGAAACTGATACAGGCATTCCTTCCTTGCATTTAAGCAATCGTGCACTGGAGAGGAAACTTATTTTCTTTTCTTTAGCATTTTTTTTA